ATTCATTCTAATGCGCTTGATAGAGTAAGTAGGAGCTATGGTGAGTAGGAACATGGAGTATGTTAGAGCTTGCGACGCGAACAAACTTTGAGTTAATTTGGAGCATGTGATGCGAACAAATCTCCTGTATCCTTTTCATGGAGCGAAGCTCCATATCGCTGGCTCCATATTCCCATTACTGCCCCGCGAATGAAGAAGTGTTTTGAAAGTTTTGAACTTGAATAAAAAAATTTTCATGTATGAATATACAGAATGTTCCAGAATGACAGCCAAATATTTCATGTACTGATAGAATACGGCCTAAATTGAGTCGAAAGGTCCTCTATCATTTTAAATATTAAGATTATCTTTTATTTATTTTTTTTTAATGAACGAAGATTAATAAATAAAGTCAAAACGTTTCTTATATATTATTTTTTAAGTTTACTAGTTGAGTGACACTCTATAATAAATCGTTACATTTTTAACTCTAATTTTTTACTCTTAAATAGATCTTTCTATTACTGTTATTTTCCTTTACCATTTTGCAATTTTCGTAAATATAATTAACAAGATATTAATTACTAAAATTACTAAAAAATCGCCGAATATTAGTTTTCAAAATTTTTTACTTAAGTACTGTCAATTTTCAGAAAAACAGCAAGCGACAAAAATTGTTTATTTTCTTCTCAAAGAGTTTTGAGAATTTTTTCTTAATACAACATTTTCTTATGTTATGTCATTAAAAATAGTGTTCTTATGTTATGTCATTAAAAATAGTGTCAATAAGAAAATGCAGTCCTGAAAAATTAATAAAAAATTCTGAAAAATTCTTAGAGCTCTATAAGAAGAAGATAAACAATTTTTGTCTCTTACTGTTGGTCTAAAGGTGATAATATTTGAATAAAAAATGATTAAAAATTAATATTCGATGATTTTTAGTAATTAATATCTTGTAATCTTTAGTAATTAATATTGTAACTATTCCGAAAATTGCAAATAAAATGAAAAAGGACTTTTTAAATTAATATTTAATTCGCTTTATCAGTATACGAAATATTTGGTCATCCTGTATAAACATGTATAAATACATGTATAAATACATAAATATGTAATAAATACTTATAAACATAATTATATATGAAATATGTCCATATACATTCATCCTTCTCTCTTTTATAAAATTACTGTTTAATGTAAGAAAAATAATAATGAGAAAATGTCAAAAATAATTAAAGAAACAATTTTCGCGTTGTTTGTTTTAGAAAAAATCAAGTTTAGAGAAGTATAAAAAAAGTTATTTGTACATAATTATGTTAGTATAATGTTACATGTAATTATATATCAGTCATATTTTTTACATTTGTTCAAATTTAATTTAATTTTTTTCTAAAACAAATAATGCGAAAATTATTCTTTTAATTATTTTTTATGTCTTTTTATTATTATTATCGATTTTATTATACTATAAAAATAATTTTACAAAAAAAAAGAAGCATGTATGTATATATACATTTATAAACACATTTCATATATAATTAGATATATATGTTTATGAATATTTATTTACATGTTTATATACGTTTATACATATTTATATACATTTATTCGTGCATAAAAAATTTTTTATTGGGTCGTTTGACAGTTAATACATTTTATTTGTATCAAATTGTGAAAACATATCATTGCGATAAAAAGACTACTGCAGACAAAGAAATATGAATAACGAATACCTAAATTACATGAAGCAGTTTAAACGTATAATTTCAATTGTAGTACTAGAGATTAAAAGACGACTATAGCTGCAGTAGCTGCTGTGTTACATTATATGGAAAATAAAAATGGCAATATGCTAAAAAAAAATGTCAGGCTAGCGCCTATCTTCGAAAATTGCAATGACAGCACAGTTTTTACTTTACATCAGTCCCGATATTAGAATTAGAAGATTTTCCTTTTCATAATATTTATATTATTTTGAATAATATAAATAATAATATAGTAAAATAATAATA